AAAGGCTAATTCTTTAAGCCCAACCAATTCAATTACCTGTCAAATCTGGACAGGACGGCCTTTCAGGCCTTTTTTTATTGTCATTATAGTATTACGGGGAACCCCGTAGCAGCCACATCCGTGCTCAAGCTTCCAACGAGGGAATAATGCGGGAGCTGCACCCACCAGCAGGTGTGATACCTGCTACAGCAGGTGGGCGATACCGGCCAGGGGTCAGCTGGTAGCATCAGGACCGAGCTTCTTCGATGGGCCAGTCACTGTGCCTCCCCTCCGGTCCCCTCCCCCTATGAACATCAGCAGTCTCTGCTCAATGCCACTCGGGGGGACCAACGGCGTATCTCTAGGTGGCGGGCGCCAAGCTTGCCCAGGAAGGTGCATGAGGCCGATGGGGATTGAACCCAAGACCTCCTGAATGCCACTTGTGTGCCTTACCAACTGAGCTAGGCCGTTTTCTGGGAGACTGCTCTTATCACCACAGAAGCTTCTCGAAAAAAAAGAAAAAAAAAAAAAAAAAGAAGGGGGGAAACTGCTCCGGCGTCACACTTTTAGCTCAAAATGGCCTTTTAGTAAAACATCAACGTCGTCCAAGCTCAAATAGGCAACAAAAAACTAGTTGGCAGGAGCACCACAGCTGTACTTGGTATCAGGCATAAACATCACTAATAGTGTGGCTGTGCTGGGCTCAGGACACGAGGAACCGGGACGTGAGGAGACCACCTACCACGTGGACGTAGGGCGATTTCGAATGCGGGCGCCTATATGTCCCCCGTGGCCGTGGTCACTCAGATTCGAACACCCCCTGTCCTGTAGAGTGTAGAGGTCACCGTCCCGCCCAAAGCGGCCACCTCGTTCTGTGGAGAGCTCACCATTCCGCCTCCAAGCTGCCGCTGCAGTTCGCGTGGATGTCAAGGTAAGCGGCAATCTACCTTTCCTCTTCTTCTGCTTCTTCTCCTTCTTGCCACCACTAGTGACTATTCTTCTTCTCCTTCCTTCTTCTTTCTCTTCTTCCGCAGCCTGCACCTGTTCTCTGTTGTCGGCGTTCCCTTTTCCGTGCTCGTGCAAGGCAGCTTTGGTGGCGGCAGAATATGGACATCGGGGTATCAGCAGCAGCCGGGGGCGGAGTAGTGTCGGGATTCCCACGTGTGAAGACATGGAGAAGAGGAGTGACGGGGGTAAGTAAGGGGAGTTGATGGGGGCGTGCAGGAGACGGGGACGCATGGCGGGCTGCGTCCCGATGAGGAGAAGAGGTCGGGAAGGGGAGAAGCAGCGGGCAGCGGTCCCGACGGCGAAAGGATTGGGTAACAAAGCAGGAAGCATGGCAGCAGCGGCAGCAGCAGCAGTGATTGGACTGGAAAAATCGGCAGCAAAGAAATAAGGGATGAGCACCATGTGTGGTGGGGGAGAGAATTGTGCGAGCGGAGGAGTGAAAGGAAGGACGCCGGACGGCCATGGCGAAGAAGAGGACGAAGAGGACGATGATTTGTGTGAAAGACGACGATGATAAGGATGATGATTCGGGAGGGGGAGGTTCCGCTGCCATGGTTTATTCTTGCAGCGCGGTTGGAGTAATAAAAGGTCGACGGGTGAAAGACGACGACGACGACGAGCATGGTGATTCGGAAAAAAAAAGGTGGACTGGAAAAAGTTTGTCGGGAAAAAGGTGGACACGTGGGGGAAGGAGGATGTCAAGTGGGAAGGAAGAGAGAAAGATGAGGAAGAAAAAGCGGAGGGAAAAGAAAAAAAAAAAACTGCAACGATGACGACGTGAAAAATGTTGACACCGTCTTCTGCTCTGTGACTTTGCGATTTTTTTTTATTTTTTTTTTTTAAGCGGGAGACGACTTCCAGATTAGCGCAACGGAAAGCTCTTCGTACGTAGAATGCGTGCATGCATGCTAATAAGCCATGAACGCATGCATGCTCTTCGTCCTAACTGCCATCAACGCATGCATGCTCTTCGTACGTAGAATGTGTGCATGCATGCTAACATGGCCATGCCGAGAGCAGAAGTTCTAAAGGCTCGTTTTCTTTTCTGTTGTCGACCAGTTTCACGTTCTAGGGGAATCCTTGTCGGAGGCCGAAATGGGATCGTGTCTTTTCTTCTACTTGTGTTTTTCTATCGTATGATTCAAACCAAGCACGGCTGCGGTGGGGGTTATCGATCACATGCAAGCTTGCAGCGTTGCGATTTTGTTCATTCATTCGGCAAACACTCGATCATCTTGTGCAGTTTCGCCCTGGAAGACGGGCGCTTGTGCCATTTTTTAAATCAGAATTTTGAATCGGGGGATGGAAACCTTTTTTTTTTTTTTTTTTTTTGTAGCCAATACGGGATGCAGACTTTATTTCTGTTGTCCTCGTGATCCATCACGGGTATGGAGACACGGTTGCAAGGGTGGAAGAAATCGCACTAAGACTTCTTCTTCATCTGTTTCTTCCTCTCACGGCCGAGGTCATGGGAATGGGGGGAGGTCATGGACCCATGGTGGCGGCTTTTCACAGTAGTACCTGCAATCCGACTCGTCTTATTCACTCTCTTCATGCACGTGAACAGCAACACACACAACTGGCGACATGCGCCCACACAGTACACAGAGATATGTCTTCCAGGTAAGTTCGCTTCCACTGGCTATGGCGACTAAGCGCCCAGACAACTCACTGTTCACACTTTGGATCACCCTGGATGTCCCACACGCAACCCGCAACACACACACACACACACACTACTACAGCTATGGCAGCACTAGCTGCCACCACCCTATCGCTACACTACACTCCTCTGCCCACTTCGTCTTCGGGCACWCTGCAGACCTCCTCGCACAAGCTGCTGAGGCAGCGCTTCCGCATGGTATCCGCAGGAATGAATGAATGGCTGGACACAGCCTCTTGATTTATACTTCTGCGCTGCGTTGGTCTGCCCCGTATCCCTTGGCCCACGAGGTGCACAGTCCCAGACGGTACTTGCTTGACTGGACCAGATGGGACTAACTGGGACTGCTGACCGGACTAGGTGGACTACCACCACTTGACCACTTGCCTCTGCTGAATGCAGGCTAACTCCGAAAGGCCACTTCTAGAAGTCTCTCACTTGGCCTTTCGGTACTGTAGCAGCTACGACCTTGCCCTTTTAGGTAAGTAGCGGCTACGACCTTGACTCTTCAAACAACCTACAACTACGACCTCTGAACTGTTTAGATTCCTACCCTACAAGTCTACAGTTCGAATCCCTCCTACCCTGTGACCTACAAAAGTCTACCTACCACTGGCGATCCTACAGGTCGCAGGTTCAAAGCTACGGGTTGACATCAATACTGTACACAGGTAAGACGAGGAACTAGGGATCGAGCCCTGGGATCTGCATTCGCTGCTGCGAACTGGTGAATACCGTTTCACTCCCGCCGGCCTAAATTCAAGGTCCTCTGAGAAAATTTCAGTCCAAGGCAGGACCTTTACCCTTTTGCTGTCTCTTGTAGGCTCGGACTATATCGGGAGCTGTCTCTAGAAGTTCTGATGTTGTAAACCAGCGGTCGTCTTCCAGTTCCTGATAACTAAAATGAACCTTATACTGTTTCTGCGGACGACCCCTACCTCCAGTTCTGAAGACATCTTCAGCCACTATACCATCTTTGTCATATCTTCCATCCATATGAGGCGGGATCATCGATCTACGGGATGGAAACTGATCACTTGTTTGACAATGTAATAACTTTGATGCCTGGAAAACTGGATACGTGTGGAGGTGTGTTGGTAGTTCTATTGTATAGGACGGCCCATCCTCGCCGCCCTTGACTTCCAGAACAGGCCACGGTCCTCTATATGTGGGCAGTAACTTCTGCGAGATGTTCTCCTCAGGCGCAAACTCTTTAGAACTGACCCAGACTAAGTCGCCTACTTGAAACTGTGAAGGGCGACGATGTTTGTTCGCTTGCTCTATCATTCTATGCTGGGCTTTCCTGAGGTTCTCTACAACAGTAGCTAGTTCTTTCTCGTGCTGCACAGCAAACTCCCTGGTCCTGGGCGGCAATCTATGAATCTGATCCCGGTTGAGTCCCTCAAATGGTCGGCGTGGTCTAAAGGACTTGTGCAGTTCGTTGGGAGTGCGGCATGTAGACAAATGCACACTGTTATTGTACGCACTAGCTACTTTGGGCAACATCTCATCCCAGTTTATCTGATCTGGCCTAATGTACATGCGCAGAACTTGCTGTAGGATCTTGTTCATCTGCTCTGTCTGACCGTTAGTCTCTGGATGACGGCCGGACGACATCAACAACTTAGATCCATACACTCCCATGAGTTCTTGCCAGTTCTGGCTAGTAAAGCCTGTGTATACACCCGTACAAATACGGCCCGTACAGACGGCTGTACGTCCGTATGTACGGGCCCCCTGGTGCACGTACAGCCCGTACGTACGGACTTATGGCCCTCCGTACGTCCTTTCGCGGGGGGTGTTGAGGGGGTGGATGGGCTGGGGGGGTGTTGGGTGTCATGGGGTACCTCCCCATCAAAAAAAAAAAAAAAAAA